GCACATTTAAATTAAAATTTCGTTAATCACATGATTAATATCTTGTAAAACGTATTATATTTAACTTGACTCAGCAGCATTAGCACAGATGTACGTTACTTTATTAGAAGAAATTTAGTGCTTTGCATTTAAAGCGCTATTTCGGGATTAAGTCGTTGGCTGAATCGGGAATTACATGGGAAGTGCTGAATAATAATTAAAGTGCAACATTGTAATTAAAGTACTGAATAGTAATAATAAAAGTGCTGACTAATTAATTTAATTTAATTGTATTAGTATGGTCACATCCTATATAGTCACAACATAGTATAGTCACATTTTTTTGAAAAATTCCCTGCTACTAATTAATCATAGTAAAAACGTGTCCTGTATAGTCACAAACACTATAGTCACCAAAATTCTTGAAATTTCACTATGGAGTGTGTGACTACCAATAAATGTAAACGAATAAATTGATCACAAGTAAATAAAAGGAACTTTATAGAAGCCCTTGAGCTTTATAAAAGGGCATCTTTATTTATTTACAATTATCTGGTGCCATTGAGTGTGTGCTCACAGACTCGTCCAGGTGAAGAGGAAACTCAAGTAAATTTGTATAGGAGTCTGACTGTAATTGTAAATAAGTTAGTAAAATAAATACTTTCTTATAACTTAAATCACTAAACAAAATTATTCATTAATAAAAACTAATTTGTTAGCCTCCAAAATATAATTGCATAATAATAATGAAGGAGATGAATTATTATCTAAACTAGTTGATGAATTAGCTTGTTCAATAATTTTTTTTAGTGGACGATTTATATAGAATGATCCTTGATGATGTTTATAAGTTTTTTCATCTGACAAATATTTTTCTGAAGTGATAATTTCTTGACGTTTGTTTTCTGCCAATTCAATACTTTCTTTTCCTTCTTTATAACGACAATATTTACCTAAACATTTACGAATTTCGCTAAAATCGGGTCGATTTTCTGGCATGGGATCCCAACATTTTTTCATTAAATCAGCATATAATTTGGGTGTGTCCTCAGTAACTTCAGGCCGTTTTCCTTTCAAAATATCCAAAATAAGTTTAAAATCATGTGATCTATCATAGAATGGTTTTTTTCCTGTAGTGTATTCCCACATGATCATACCAAAACTATAAACATCTGATTTTTTTGTATATGGTTTTCCTGATAATACTTCAGGTGCCACATATGGCATTACTCCAAAGATTTCGTCTGGATGTTCTGTTTTATTTATTACTTGTTGACACAACCCTAAATCACCTACAACGCACTTATCATTTTCATATGAAAAAATATTACCACTGTGCAAATCATGATGAATGTAACCATTATCATGAATATTCTTTAATCTAATTTATAAATAAATAAATAAATAAATCATTTATTTATTTTAATAAAATATGATAAATTAATAAAATTTACCCATCTGAAATCCGAAAAAGTGATGTAATTTTGTCTTCCCAAGTAATTTCTTTAAAACTTTTTGATAAATGGGTATGCAAATCTCCATTTGGGGCATGCTCAAATACCAATATGTAATCATTTTCATTTGGATCTTTTGTAATTCCAAAACATTTATTAACAGAAAAATAAAGTTTATCATTTGCTTCTAACTAAAAAGTTATAAAATAATATTTGTTATGATTTAATAATATTTTATGAAAAATAATATCTTTCAAATTTTTACCTCATTGCAAATGTCTAAAATAGAATTAAGCTTATTTAATCTTTTCAGCACAACCCTTCTTTTCCCAAATTTATTAATAATTGGTTCACTATAGTTAATCCATGTTGCTATATCAACCTTACTAAACCCACCTTTGTCTAAATCTTTCACATCTTTAAGTTCATCAAATGGAATCCATTTAACGGTCTTTGAATCTTTTTTTTTATATTGATCAAGAAATTTAGCTATTTCTTTATTTCCATATTTTTTAGTTGAACAACAACTATCACACAATACTTCACTGTTTAATTGGTCATCTAATTCTTTTACTATTTTTAAACTAATATTTGAGGGTTCTTTCAATAGGTCAATTAATTTATTAAGCAAGCCATCATACTTATTATTTTCTACACAATAAATGCAATCATCTATTATATTTAATACTTTAAGCAATTTGTTTGATAAATCAATCAATCCAACCAATTCTTCGCCATTTATTTTTTTTAATTCATTTAGCCTCTTATTTAATTCATTGACTTTTAATTTTAATTTGTTGGCTTTTAATTTGAGTTCATTTATTGTTTTTGATTCATTATTTAATTTGTAATCATCAAAGCTAGTGATGACGATCTTTAGTCCAGCACAATTTTCAGACAAATGATCTAAGGAAGCTTGATAATCACTATGATACAAAGTTGGTAAATATAAATATTTTAAATTTTGACAAGTTATTGCGATTTCTTCAATAAAAAGCCCGAATGAACTTTCATCTGGATTGCCTTCAATGTCAATAACTTTTAGGTTTGACCCATTTCTGCTAATAAACTGAATAAGATCATCTATAGTATCTTCTATGTTAAACTGAAAATGAAATTCTTCAAGTGATGGAAATTCAGCACGCTTGAAATAACTCATTGAAATATTCCCATCGTCATAATGATTAAATAGGTCCAATTTTTTCATGTTTGTGAATTCTGCTCCTTCTTTCAACATTTCATCCATAGTGTGAATATAGCCTTTGAATTCTATTAATGAGCCTGATTTACCCAATAATGCCTTCAAGGTCTTTGTAAATAAAGAATAATCTTTTTCTACATGAAGATGCATTATTTTTAATTCAGATTGCCGATTTATCAGTTCACCTAGTCCATCACCAGCCTCATCAGGTTTTTTTATTTCAACAGTTAATTTTTCAATTTCATTAGCAATTCCAACAAAATTATTCAATAAACCAGGCAAATTTGTATTAACATAATGGAATTCTTTGATATTTTCAAAGTGAAGTTCTGGATTTTCATGAAAGTTATTTGGCAGATAAGGGATTAAATCACCTAAATAAATTTCCTCGATATTAGAAGTCTTTAATATCAGATTTACCAAATTTTTAATTAATAAGTCTGTGTTTTCATTTACTAAACCCCGGAAATGTCCCTTAAAAATGGCCAACCTTTTAACGAATATTGCGTAATTGTATAGAGGGGGGTTTTCTAACAGCTCGAAGTTTAGTTGAATGTTATCTTTTCTTAAAAGGGTGTCGAGTTCTGAATAGAGTATTAAACAGTTTATCAATATTTTAATACTGCCTTCTGATTCAAATGGTTCTCTCCATAAAATTTTTGTACAGCAGTTACTCCAATGCTTATTTACTAAACAACAAGAAAAAAGGGCTCCTTTGTCCTCTTCAATGTATTTAAAAACTTTAGTTAATAACTCTGAAGGTAATAATGCGTTCATTGTTTTAATTTTTTTTTGGAAATTTCGTCAAGCTTTAACACTTTTCTTATATACAAAAAAACTTATTTGAATTCTAAAAATATTAAAACTTTTAAAGTTTATTGTTACTAGTAAAGCGGATCCGATTGAATATTATTAAAGAACACTATTACTATAACAGAAATTCCATTTTTCTGATCTTCTATAGAACAAACAATTAGAAAAACATCAAAGAAAAAAATGATTGTTTCATGTGTTAACTTCGGTGAAATCCGTACAAACACTTATTTTTATCGTAATTGTAAATTTACTAATTTAGAGAATGATGTGCCATTTATTTGTTACACTCAAAATATTCTTTATATTCATGGAATATTCTTTTCAAACTTATACACTACATGGACAAAAATTATATTGTAGTATAGTTTCATCAAATTGTTTGTGCAAAATTTCATTTTTCTAATATTTTATTGAACTAACAATTAAAAAATCAAATTTTTTTTGTCAAAACAATGCTCGCTTGAAAAAAATTATGCTTATTTTTACGAAATACGAATTCTAATAAATTAAATAACACTCAAATAATAACCAAAATGCTACTTAAAATCAAAGATAAATGATAAATAATAACGGTAGTAAATAATAATAATAATAAAAACGATAATACCAATGATAAAATGAAAAACTGATTGATAATAAATAATATAATGAAAATGCTAATATGATTATAAAAAATAAGTGATGGGTTAGTGAGGGTTATTGTCAATCTCCGCCACCGCTATACGAATCCAATAAAACTCCGCTGTTAACATCAATATTAATATAATCAGCATCATCAGAATTATCTGAATCATCCTCAACAACAACAACAACAACACCTGCTGTATTTCGTTGGTCGATTTGAGCAAAGTTCGATCAATATTTGCTGGAAGATTATTCTCGATTATCTTTAAATGATATCTGGAGTGACGAAAGTAGCTTATGTTTATCGAATTATTTGTGCGAAATTTCATTTCCATAAAAATTTTATTAAACTAAACTTTGATCAAAAAATTTCTCATTTCTTTGTCAAAAAAAAGATAAAACTGTCCACCAAAAAAATAATTAATATATGTACGGTACGAATTCAGTATTTTGTTTGCCATCAATTATTGCCCCGACATACTCCCAAAAAATTTCATTAAGACGTCATTTAAAATTCGATAATATTTTCGGATTTTTTGGCGCCTTCTAATTCCTCTTTCCATTCTGACCACGAATGCTCAATTGGATTCAAGTCAGGTGACTAGCTTGGCCAATTAGACAAAACGTTAATCTCATTTGTTGAAAACCAATTTTTTACGGTATGAATAATCTTGGTACAAATGACTCTATTATTAAATATTTTTCAGCCGAAGGTAGCAAATTGGTTTCTAGTATTTGTATATACCCTAAGCTATTTAATTTATCATCTATTTTCACTGATGTGCATAAACCCTTTCCCGAAAAACAACTACACATCATCAAACCTCTACCTCCAAATTTTGCAACAGGAGTCGTGATTTCAATATTAAATCTAGGATCACAAGTTCTCCAAACGCGCCTCGGTTCATCATTTTTATATATTGTGAGTCTACAAAGTAGTGTTTTCTATTTGTCTATCAGTCTGTAAATATATGCGATGTTCTAATTATAAATACTGTCATAATAATATGTGATGGATATTATTAATTATATTATATGTGGATATTATATATATTGTTGATTATATTATATGTTGATATTATATATATTGTTGATTATATTATAAGTTGTTATTATATATATTGTTAATTATATTATATATATTGTTGATTATATTATATTATATGTTGTTGATATTATATATATCATTGATTATATTATATTATATGTTGTTGATATTATATATATTGTTGATTATATTATATGTTGATATTATATATTTTTTAATAAAATGTGTGATATTATTATATATATTGTTAATGTTCATTATATTATTATTAGATAAATCAATTAAATATTTTCATCTCTTTACAATAAATACGAATTTTGCCTAATTATAACCTTTAAAGCTTTCAAATTAAATTTCCTCTTTAACGATCTTTAGCCCAGCACAATTTTCAGACAACTGATCTAAAAAAGTCTGATAATCATGATGATGTAGGAGTTGATAAACGTTTTAAATTTCTGCAAGTTATTCTGATTTTTTCATTAAAAAGTTCAAGTGAACTTTCGTCAGGATTGCCTTCAATGACAATAACTTTTAGATTTGACCCATTTTGGCTAATAAACTGAATAAAATCATCTATATCACCTTCAGCATTAAACTGAAAATGAAATTCTTCAAGTGATGGAAATTCAGCATGCTTGAAATAACTCATTGAAATATTCTCATCATCATAATGATTAAATAGGTCCAATTTTTTCATATTTGTGAATTCTGCTCCTTCTTTCAACATTTCATTCATAGTGTGAATATAGCCTTTGAATTCGGTTAACAAGCCTGATTTACCCAATAATGCCTCCAATGTAGTACTAAATAAAGAGCAATCTTTTTCTACATGAAGATGAATTATTTTTAATTTAGATTGCCGATTTATCAGTTCACCAAATCCATCACCAGCCTCGTCAGGTTTTTTTATTTCAACACTTAATTTTTCTATTTCATTAGCAATTCCAACAAAATCATTCAATAAACCAGGCGAATCTGTATTAACATAATGGAATTCTCTGATATTTTCAAAGTGAAGTTCTGGATTTTCATGAAAGTTATTTGGCAGATAAGGGATTAAATCACCTAAATAAATTTCCTTGATTTTGGCAACTTTTAACATCAGATTTACCAAATTTTTAATTAATAAGTTTGCATGAAGTCTTTGTAAAACTTTGCTTATATTTTCTCCTTTTACTAATTCCGAATATCCCTCAAAAATAGCCAATCTTCTAGCGAATGCTGCATAATTGTATAGGGGTTTTGTTTGATCTGCTCCTAACAATTCAAAGTCTAGTTGAACGTCGCCTTCTCTTAAAAGAGTGCCGGGTTCTGAATAGTGCTTTAAGCAGTTTATCAATATTTTAACGCTGCCTTTTGATTCAAATGGCTCTCTCCATAAAAATTTTATACAGTGCTCACGCCAATGCCTATTTACTAAACAACAAGAAACAAGAGTTTTTTTCTCCTCTTCCAAGTATAAACGTTCAAAAATTTCAGTTAATAGTTCTGGGGGAAATAATGTGCTCATTGTTTTAATTATTTATTTTTTATTTTTTTATTTTTTATTTTTTATTTTTTGGAATCGACGCTTATCGACGTTCTTAAATATAAAAAAACTTATTTGAATTCTAAAAATAAACTTTAAAACTTATTGTGACTGGTAAAGAGAGTCCGTTTATACTTTACAGAAAAAAACAGGTTTGTCTCTCAAGAGACTTCTTTGCAAGAATAATTCGATTATCCGGGCTATAAATAACATCGATTGTTTGCATTCGGAACTAAAAATCCCCAAACAATGATCGATTCCTATTTTTATAATAATTTTTATTTTTATTTTTGTAACAACTGAATTTTTTTTCATTTGCTATTTTGAGAATAAAAATTAGCACACTTTTTTTTTTCTTTCCTTTTATAATAAACTTCAACGAAAATTCTTTAGAAACTTTCAAAACAATCATTCATTTTGCTAAAAGGGATCTTTACATTTAAAAAAAAATACATTCAAAGAATATTCTACATTTAAAACATTTAAAAATTATATTTACCATGTACTTGTGCATTTTTCCAAAGAATATCCTTTGCATTTAAAACTACATTCAACTAGATACAAAATCCTCAAATTGTTAATAATTATTACCTAAATTATAATTAATTATTAGCAATAGTAAATTGTTGATTATAATTACAAAAGTTACCATATTTAATCGATTTTATTATACTAGAGTCAACGACTTGAAACATCAATTATTTAATTGCCAAAAATTACAAGACTGAATATGGTTCAGTAGAAAAATTGCTATGACGAATGATAACGATATTTGGACAATTAAAGAAATTAATAGAATGGTAAGCGTAATTATTATTATCACTGTCATTCCTTATTTTGGAAAACTTTATAACCCTAGGATGATAGCTTTTTTATATGTAATGTTTTAGAGTCGTATTCAAATGAGTCAAGAAATCAAAAAATGGAACTTAAATCTTATTATATATTAAAACTAAATAACAATAGTATGCTATTTTTATTTATTAAAAATACAGTATATAATGTATAAGTATGTATGATTCTACAATCCTCTGAGCTAGAAGATTTCAATTGATATTGATATTTAATATCCATCCCAACGGCAGACTAGCTATCATATTGAACTTGGTATTTATAAATGCAATTAATAAGCACAAATAACTACACCAAAGCTCTGCAACACTGTCTTCATCATCAACATACCGCGTTCTACATAGTAAAGAGCTTCATTATAATTTCATTATATTGGAGGTTGCTTGAAAGAGTCAGATTGGAAATTATTAAAACACCGGTTCCGTTGATCCATCCTCGCCAGCCTTTAGATCTATCCATCTTTATCTTTATTTCACTCAATACACTATCTAATTGATTCATTCAAATTGGATTTTTTATGAATATTTATTTAATATCGAAAAGTCCAAGTAGATCAATGACAAAAATTTGCACTATAGCCATAAACGAAGGCAAATCTTTAAAGATTTGAACAAAGAACTTGATCCAGAATTTGATATTGTTTTGAATGTTAAGATTACACTTTGACCGAAATTACTCTGGAAAAATATTTCTCGCTTCAAAAAAAAAAAAAAAAAAACAGTTGTTCAAAAACACACATAACACATGTCTTAATAAACATTTAAGCTGTTTTGAAATTTTTAATAAATTTTTGAACAAATCCTTTGAAAAGTTTTAAGCAGAATCATCGTTAATAAAAAATATCTTTATTATTATTTAAAAGATCCTGCACAAAATTTTTTTTTGTCCTAAATTATCTAAATAAACCAAAAAAAATATTTAAATAATTTTTAATTACTGGTTCGATCGGTTCGACCAGTAAGTTTTACACTCACTCTCCAATATAAAGTTTGCATAAAAATTTTTCGTTTTTATCCTTATTTTTTTTATGAAAAAACATATCTATCAAATTACTCTTATTCTTAAATTTAGTTAAATTAAATATTAATTAATTTATAATGCATATTATCTATATGTCTATATTGTGTTAATCATACTATTGTTATCTATATATATATGTTATTATATATGTTATATGATGATAAAAGTAATAATTTAAATTTAAATTCTATAATCTATATTATGTTATTATTTATATGTTATATATATGTTATAAAATCCATTTTCTTTTAATAATTCAATTAGCTTAATTAGCTTATTGTTTTCATCTCCATAATGTTCTATATATATTTTTATAGGAATAACTTCCCAATTCTTTAGTTTTTTTAGGCCATCATCGGAGACCTTAAAAATCTCTTCAAATAAAAATTCATGTAATTTTTTCTGCCCTGTCGTTATCAGAGCATCAATGACCTTGTCAAAATCACAATCATCATAGTCTTCCATGAAATTTTTTAATGAAATTGTCTCCAGATCAACACACTCCTTAAACAATAGAGTTAAGGAAGCTTGGTGATCATGATGGTACGGGATTGATAAATGTTTTAATCTCTGACAGGTTCCTGCAATTTCGGGGATAAAATTTCCAAATGAACGTTTGTCTGGGTTCCCGTGAATCATAATAGTTTTTAGGTTTAAACTGTTTTGTTTAATAAACTGAATAAGGTCATGTGTACCGTTTTCAGAATTGAACATGAAATGAAGTTCTTCAAGTTGAGAAAATTTAGCACGTTTGAAATAACTCATTGAAATATTCCCATCATCAAAATAATTAAAAAGTTCTAATTTTCTCATGTTTGGGAAAATTGCCCCTTTTTCCAACATTTCATTTATAGCATGGACGTAGCATTTGAATTCGGTTAACAAGTCTGACTTATCCAATAATGCCTTCAAAGTATTTGCAGATAAAGTGCAACCTTTTTCTATCAGAAGATGCAATATTCTTAATTTAGGTTGCCCATTTATCAGTCTATCTAATCCATCATCAGCCTCATCATTTCTTGTTATTTCGAGGCATAATTTACGGATTTCACTAACAATTCCAACAAACTTTTTCAATAATTCTGGAGAATCTGTATTCTTATAATGAAATATTTTAACTTTTTCAAAATGGAACTCTTCATTGTTATGGAAGTCATTTGGCAAATAAGGGTTTAATCCAATCAAAACAATTTCTTCGATCCTACTAGATTTTAATACTTGAACCACCAAATCTTTAATTAATAAATCGGCATATTGCCGTTTTCTTCCAATATTTTCTTCTTTTATTAAATCCTGGAAAATTTCTGCAAAAATGTCCAATTTTTTGACGAACATTAGGTAATTCTCAAAAGGTTGATTTCCTAGCGATTGGAAGTTTAATTGAATATTATTTTGTGAAAGAGTGTTGCGTGTAAAATAGTTTATTAACACTTTGAGATTGTATTTTGATACAAGCGGATCCATCCATAACAATAACATACAGAGCCCATGCCAATGTCTATTTACAAAACTACAAGAAATAAGGTCTACTTTTTCCAAGGATTTAAAAGTTTTAAATAATAACTCGTTTGGTAAATAGTTCATTTCAAATATTTTTTTTTAATTTTTCATCGCTTGAACTTTCTCTCCTTATATACTATTTCTTTATATTAAAATTTTAAATTTTATTCTAAACAGGTAAAACCGGTAAAGCGATTCCGTTTAAATTAAAATAATATTAATAATTAGAGACTTCTGCGACAAATCTAGTTATCCAAACAGATTTCTTAGAACAATAATAGAAGGATGGAAAAGAAATGCATATATTTCTCCCGAAAATGATCGAGAATAAAATCAGTCGGTCATTTTTATCGATTGCTCATTCATACAAATTTGCAAATTTGGATAGAGCCGACTCCGCTTCACTGGTCGGAATTACTAAATCCCTATTATCATTACCGGATTAGTATTAGTATATATTAATATCTAACAATATGATCGATTAATATGGTATTAGTATGGTCACACGCTGCACAGCTTTCCGAACATTCCAATGTAAAAATACTATATACAAAAATTGAGAATATTCTTGCCAAGCTTATACATATATATATTGCCTAAGATGTTCATTATTCACATTTAAAAATTATATTCGTTGAATATAAATGTCAACTACGATCACACAAAGCCCTTTTTTTTGATTCCCGAATTGTTTAATAAGTAACAATAATTATTATTTATAAATTAATCAATTTTGTTGATGACAGTCACTAAAGTTTGTACTAGTTACGCCTTGGCGATTGATTATTAAAGAAATCGATAGAACAGCAATATTAATATTACTATTACTATCACCATTATTATTATTATCACCATTATTATCACCATTAATATTAATATTAATATTAATATTATTACTATTATTATTACTATTTTAATGAAAATTGATAATTTTGTGAAAGATTTTTTTTAATTATACTCAATGTGAATCTTGTAAATAAATAAACATGTTTTTAGAATAGTAATAAAAAATCGATTTTATATTCTAACACTAAATAATAATGTATCAAAGATTTTAATTGAAATTGAATGACATACTTTGTGAACTTTTCCACATCCTAACGACAGGTGATAAATGTCAAGACTAAACTGATATTCGAAGGTTTGATCTATGGTATTTGTGCAATTTAACTTGGTATTTATTAAACGTCATCAATAAGCACACAAAAAACTAAAATAATAGATAATCTTTAATCTTTATATTTCAGTTAATATAAAGACTACGTCTTGAACTGTGATTTATTGAACCACTCTGTCATTTTCATTATCAATGTTGCTATGTTCTTCACGAGGAACAGAATCACCATCACATTTTTTTGCTGCCGGTAGATTGTATGATAATAGATATAATGTGATTTTGTTTATATTGCTACGATGAAAACACCGCTCCTTCTTTCTACTATCCAAGCGTAGATTCTTGCATCCATTCGAAACTAAACTTTCTTCCCTCCAAGAATCGTTTTTATATTCTCACAGTCATTTTTAGATTAAAATGTTAACATGTGGGTAGAATAGAAGATTTATTGAAACGCACTTTGTAAACAACTTGGAAAGCGAACTTGTATTAAATACTATATGTAAAGTCAATTTATTGTTATATATTTATATTTTTCTTATATATATATTTATATTATTTAATTATATTATATATGTGATATTATTATGTATATGATATGTGATATTATTATTATGTATATGTATGATATTACATCATGTACTATATTTTATATATTTAATGTCCATTATATGTGATATTATGTATATGATGTGTAATAATATGATATTATGTATTATTATATTATATAGTTAATGTCCATTATCGTATATATGCGGTATTATAATTATTATTGGATGTAACCCAACAAATCAAATTCCGTAATTTTTTTTTGTGACGATTCTACAATTTTTAGGCAATTGATCTAAGAAAGTCTGGTAATCATGATGATATAGGAGTTGATAAGCGTTTTAAATTTCTGCAAGTTGTTTTGGTTTCTTTGATAAAAAGTTCAAGTAACATTTCGTCAGGATTGCCTTGAATGACAATAACTTTTAGATTTGACCCATTTCGGCTAATAAACTGAATAAGGTCATCCATATCACCTTCAGCATTAAACTGAAAATAAAATTCTTCAAGTGATGGAAATTCAGCATGCTTGAAATAACTCATTGGAATATTCCCATCGTCATAATGATTAAATAGGTCCAATATTTTCATGTTTTCGAATTTTGCTCCTTTTTCCAACATTTCATCCATAGTGTGAATGTAGCCTCTGAATTCTGTTAATGAGCCCGATTTACCCAATAATGCCTCCAAGGTTTTTGTAAATAAAGAGCAATCTTTTTCTACAAGAAGATGAATTATTCTTAATTTAGATTGCTGATTTATCAGTTCACCTAATCCATCGTCAACTTCATTTTCTTTTATGTCAACAGTTAATTTTTCAATTTTATTAACAGTTCCAACAAGCCTTTTCAAAAACTTGGGAGAATATGTATTATCGTAATGCAATATTTTAATATTTTTAAAGTAGAGTTCTTCATTGTTGTGAAAATCATTTGGTAGATAAGGGATTGTCAAATCACTTAGATAGATTTCCTCGATATTAAAAGTCTTTAATATCAGGGTTACCAAATTTTTAATTAATAAATTTGTGTTTTCATTCACTAATACTAAATCCTGGAAATATCCTTTAAAAATGGCCAACCTTTTAACGAATATTGCGTAATTGTATAGAGGGGGTTTTTCTAACAGCTCGAAGTTTAGTTGAACGTTATCTTTTATTAAAAGGGCGTTGAGTTCTGAATAGAGTATTAAACAGTTTATCAACATTTTAATACTGCCTTCTGATTCAAATGGTCTATTCCATAAAATTTTTGTACAGCACTTATGCCAATGCTTATTTACTAAACAACAAGAAAAAAGGGCACCTTTGTCCTCTTCAATGTATTTAAAAACTTTAGTTAATAACTCTGGAGGTAATAATGCGCTCATTGTTTTACTTTTTTTATTTTTTATCTTTTATTTTTTATTTTTTTATTTTTCATTTTTTCATCGAGCTTTAACGCGTTTCTTATATACAAAAAATCTCATATATATTTGAATTCTAAAAATAATGTTTATGTGATTGGTAAAGCGGACCCTTTCCAAACAATATTAAAGAATTTCTATAATAACAATAGAAATCTCAACGGTTTTCTTTAGAACAAAACAACCAGGAGAAAATTAAAGAAAAAAATTTGTAAAAAATATTATTTGTCTGAACCGCTCAACATGTGCATGTTAATCCGGTCGGAATGTGGTATGTTAATCCAGTCCGGTCGGAATGTAAAAACCTCCTAACAATGGTATATTAATATTATTAATATAATGAAAAGTGTAACGTAGTACGTTGATTTTCATTTTATATTGATATTGGCTATATTTGTGCTTGCCAAGTAATTAATTTTCAAAAAATTTCATAAACATTGTTTGCACATTTACAAAATTGTATAAAGAATATTCTTTGCAAACCTCGCATGTATATATAACTTTCCAAAGATATTATTCACATTTTAAAAAAAATTGCATCCACAATTTTAGAAAATTCTTTGCGTTCATGCATTTTGCCAAAAGATAATTCCCACATTTAAAAAATTACATCCAGATAGAATGTCTTCTATTATTACAAAATTCTCTTCAATCCCCGAATCGTTAATAGGTAACAATAATTATTACTTAAATTATAAGTAATTAATAATTATGTAATTATTAATGGGGATTGTTTTTGTAAATGGAATAAAATAAAAAAACAGATTATATTTTCGTTTCGACAATTTCAATTATTAAGGACAACAACAAACCAAAAACATCACAAAAATTACCAAAATTAATTGATTTCATTAGGAAAATCATCAACGACCTTGAAATACCAATCATAACATTAACCATAAGTTTAATTTACGTCCACAGATTTAAACTTCAATTGCCAAAAAATTACAAAACTGAAAATGATACACCTCATAAAATTTTCATCAGCTCTATACTGATAGCAAGTAAATACATTGATGACAAACCTTTGACAAGTAGAAAAGTTGCCATGGCGATTGATAACAATCTTTGGACAATTAAAGAAATTAATAGAATGGTAAGCGAAATTATTATTATCACTCACTCACTATTATAATATCACTATCATTATCATAACAATAGAAAATTTGATGATTCTAGGAAAGGGCTTTTTTAAGTTATATTCAATGGAATCTTGTAATTAATAAAGATGATTTAGAATCGTATTTAAATGAATTAAGAAATCAAAAAATCGATCTTAAATCTTATTTATATGCTAAACAACAATAATGCGCTGGTCACACTTTATTTGTATAATAAATGTGCTGGTCATTTTATATACTAAGCAACAAATAATGTGCTGGTCACTATTTTATTATCAAAAATATGTAAAAATATAAATATGTATAATAATAATATATCTTTTAAACCAGGAAATATCTCAAAGATTTCAATTGAATTCAGGTTTAGTAATGGATTTACACATCCTAACGACAGATGATGATATATTTCAAGACTACTAATTGTTATCCGAAGGATTAATTTATATAATTGAACTTGGAATTTATAAATGTCATCAGTAGCTACATCAAAACCCGTGATATTCATTGACACCAAGTTGAGAACTTTATTATAACTCAATTGTACGATCCACTATGTACATATAAACTTTATTGGCGGAAGAATCGAATTTGACACTTTCCAAAAACAAAAATTTTAGATCAATTCTGTTGTTATTATGGACTGTTGTGAGAATCTCTATTTTGTGATGTCGATATGTTGTAAACTATACACAAAATAATGATGAATCAAGACTCTTTGAGCATTACACCAATATACAAACTTGTAGCCTTCTTGATAGTTTTCATACTCTACTTACTCGGTGTCTTCATATTCATTCACCGGAATTTTCAAACGGGATGTTGTTTTATTGTCCGGAATTTCTTGTAATTTTTATAATAGTAGTGAAAACAGACAATATATATTGTCACTTGGTCTTGCCTCAGTGTGAAAATTCCCTTTTTATTATCATTTTTTATAAATCTTAACAAATTTATATATATATATATTTTACAAGAATTATTAAATAAATATTTTTTAGTTACTAAAAATACAAGATAAGTTTTGTTCGGTGATTGAAAGAGTGAGAGTGATGAAGTGAAAGAAAATTGTATATAAAATTATGTATATATGTGTATGTATGTATTTATGTATTGTGTGTGTATGTATGTTTTATGTGTGAAAGTGTATTTGTGCATCTTTATGATATATGTATTAATTGTTTTTCAATGTCATTATATATTATTTGTATTAAAAAAGTTACAATACTTTTTTTTAAAGCATTAATGTTATTTATTAAATGTCGATAAAAAAAATTTGCTCAATTTTTTTGTTTGACCAACATTCTTTTATCAAATCTTAATAGATCATATGAATGAACAATTAACGATCTTTTACGTATCGTGACACATATTTTTCCTGCTCCTGTATTCTTTTCATTATTATTGTTGTCATCATTATTATCACTATTGTTACTGTCTGATCCACTGTCACTACTTGTACATGATGACGACGAACTATTATTACTGCTAATATTACTACGAACACTACGATTTAAACAACCAATTCCACTACGACTATCACCACTAATAATACTGCCAATGCCAATACCATTGCTACTGCTACTGCTATTATTACAGTTACTCGTATTTATTGTTGTATCTTTGTCGTGAATAACTTCTCGATAAGTAGTAGTTGTTACCACTTCTTCAGTGGTAGATGAATCCTCATTAAAATCTAAATCTACATCACATTCACCATCTGGAAATCCATTTTTGTAATCATTCAATTGATTAGCATACAACAAAAATTTTAACCCAACAGCTGCTCTACGCATGCTCATAAGCAAAAGTTTTTGATGTTTAATTTGATAGCGTGGTAATGGATGAATTGGCTGCTGTTGATCCTTTTCCTGTTCTGTTTCTTGATTTTTATTCTCTTCTTCATCTCCCGTACAACCTCCTCTACCTTGTGTTGTTGGGAGATTTGTAGGTGAATTAACGCCTACACTTGTTGGTGTGGTAGAAGCTACATCTGGTGTTTGTGGTGGTTCTGTTAAAGGTGGGTTTTCTTTTGATCTAATAATATTTGTAGTTGTTGTGGTTGTTGTTATTATTTCTTGATGCTCATAATACTGATGATGATGATAATATTCGGTAGTGTTATCATTATCATCATCACTATTATCTTTATCATCATCATTATTATCATTATTTTTATTATTATGATATATTTGCTCTTCAAAATAAGATCGAGAGCTCTTTCAATAATTATAAAAAAAAAAACAAAAGAAAAAAAGTTAATTATATTTTCTTTTTTTATTGGAGGAAAAAATTTCAAATAAATATTTTACCTCATGTTTACGAAACGGTGATAAATCTAATGTTTCATATGATCCATAATCTATTGTTGATCCAACATCATCGAAATGTGTTTTGATTGTTAAGCTTGCTTCCTCTATTAATCGAGCATATTCATGTATAGCTTGTAACATAATGTCTAATTGTTCAGATGTTCTTGATTGATTATCACTAAGATTGGATATGTTTGAACGAGCTATACGATGTTTTTCTAAAAGCTGTTTTTTTTTTTTTAAAGATAATTACATTAATAAATTGCAATTGGAATTATAGTAATTATAGTAATTATAGTAATAATAATAATTCTTATTCTTCTAGATTTTATTTATAAATACCTCGTATATTTGATCTTGAATTTTCTTCAAATCATTATTTATATCTTCGTGAGCTTCATCTTGAAATGTTTTTAATTTTGCCAAGCTCATCTCATTTTCCATGATCTTGTCTTGTGCAGCCATAATGCATTCTTCAACATTATCTATTATTAATATTAAGATTAGTTATAATTCTTTTTATTAGCCACAACAAAGAAAATAATAATCAAACCTTGTTTCTTTTTTATTTCCTGTATATTGGTGGTAAACCATTCAGGAGAGTCTTCATATAATTTCTCCATTGAATTTGCTATCTCATCTAAATCTTTATTAAATTGATTAAACTCCTCCCTTGATCTATCCAATTCTTTTTCAAATATCTCGTCTGATTTAGTTGGTGAAGAAAGTGGAGAACCGGTAAGTAAAATGTTTTTAGGTATTACGATAGAACTAGGTTTCTATTATTGTTGTTTATTATTATTATAAAAGATATTCATACATACATAAATATCATTTTTAATTTGGATAAATTAAATATTTAAAAAGAAAATATTAAAATAATAACCCCTAAATGATATTCCTAATATTCTCTTTAAGGGGCATTTTTTTTCATTTTTTTAGATTTTTTGGTATAGATGATGAAAGGGAGTTTTTTTTTGTGGTGAAAAAAATTTCAATTAATTAACTAAATATTGTATCTATCTATCTATTTATCTATCTATTTATCTATTTATGTATATATTATAGCTAATCAGTTAGTTACCTTTGACATTGGATTAAAGAAATATCGGTTTTCAGGAATTTTTATTGAAAGTACTGAAGAACGTTTTCCCATTTTTTGTTCAAAAAGACAAATTATATATTTATTTATATATATATATATATATATATTATAAATATCCAGTGATATGCAATCTCTATTAATTGTTTATTCTACTTATTCTACTGAAGGTTTTGTTATTATTTTATTTTTATTATTATAAATACGAATTTATAATGATAATAATAATAGGGTTGTAAGCGAGTGTCTATATAAGAAAATTTTTTCCTATTTTTTACAGCATTTGTAGACTTGACTTGGTAGTAAAAAAAAACGAAACTTTCAAAAAAGTTAGCGTTTCTTTCTTTTCTCCCTTATGTATAAAATGTTGAATAACAAGCTAGCGAATTGGCTAGCGAAAAGTTTTTAGTCAAATTAATGAACTAAAAGGTTAACTAGATAACTAGCTAATCAACCAGCCGAAAAATGCCCCTAACTGCCAATTAACTAACCAACAAACTAGATTGAACAAATTTTTTGGTTTAGCAATTAGTTTTAGATTGGGCGAGTATTGAGATTTTCAGAGATATATGGTTTAAAATAATGGCTTTTATAATAAAAAAAGTTGACTAACGCGTGTTTTTTATTTGTAATAAATTAAAGGAATATTTTTTTCTTTGAAAACACTTTATTAAAAAGAAAACGAATGAAATGAATGATGATGAGATGATTATGATAAATAAATAAATAAAAAATTTTTTTTGTCTTATATAACAATTTTAAAGTACATGCATAAATAATAAAAACAAACCGCAGAGTTTACAAATCTTTTATTTATTTAATGAAGGTACCACAATAAAAAAAAACCATTAATATTAATGTTAGGGATGGACGTGTATAAAAAAAGTAAAGGGGTGTTGCAACAACAAAGATCATGCATTGAAAATTTTATTGATAGATCATTAAGATAAGCAAGGAATTTATATCATTTATTATTGTAAATGCATGCATTTTTTTTTTTTATGTGTTAGAGAAATCATGGCGGAAAATAAAAAAGAATGATAAAAATATAAACTAAAAAAGTGATAAAATATAAACTAAAAAAGAAGTGAATGATGTGAATGAGAAATAGGAAACTTTTTACAAGCCACAAATAAAAAAGTCAAATCATTTGACTAGAAAGATCGTTGTACAATTCAAAAAAAGAAAATTTTCTGCATTACAACTTTCTTTTATTACACAAAATTAATTCCTTTATAGAAAATACCACTAATAGACCAAGTACAAACCTTACATATAACGGCAGATGTCTCGGTAAACACAAACGTTATAAGCGACTCTTTATTTGTGTTTCATAATGTACTTTAAAAAGTATATTACGGGTTCGTTTAATATCTCTATAAATGGTTTGTAAAAGTCTTTGAGGGGCCACAGCAGTGTAGATGATCACCATCTTGCGCCATGGAGCAATGTAAATCGGGAATGTGACAGGTCAACACTTGTCTTGCAATTTTAGATTGGATTTTTTAAAGCCATCGTCATTTTTGGCCATGTGTTTAAACTCGGGAAATAAAACTAAACGATGGTTTTCACACAACAATTTGCAATTTTCAATGATCCGTAAGATTATAAATTTCTTCGTGGATTTGGAGCATGCATCAACGCTTATATCTTCTATGCTTCCATGAATGTAGTGCGAGCATAAATGATTCGTTCTACTTTCCCCGTTCTATAACCTCACAACTTTGGTTGTATCCGGTCATGAAAGTTCTCATTCTTAGACCAAGAGAAATGATGCCAGCGTCTCTATTCTCTTTAACCAATGAAAATTTAAGTCCTCGATTACCAGCCTTAATTTCAAGCGGTGGCTTAGGTATAACCCGTCGATATGAGGCGACATTATATTGTAATCTTTCGGGTATTTCTCACTTGATTTAATACCGTTGAGGAATGAAAAATTAACCATTTTTTCTTCCTAAAATCATTCGAGGAATGAAAATCAACCATTTTTTCTTCTAAATCATTCGAGGAATGAAATTGATTGCCTTTTTAATTTTTAAAAGTTTTTCAATATGCCAAACTCTAACGTGATATGATATATCTAATTTTCTCGTAAATATTTTTTATATCAATATTAACCGATCCTGAACATTTATTTGTTATATGTCCAATACACAACACCAATATTTTTTTAATCAAAATTCTGACCTAAGAGCTTTCGGTTTTCTAGAAGATGATAAAGGGGAAGATTGTTTAGATCGCTAGGTGTTGGTTTAGCTTAATCAACCGCCCAAAAGCTAATCTTTTTAAAGAATCATCCCACTGACTTGAGCACAATGATTCACTCACTATATGGTGCGATTTTCAAAGGTAATAGAAAAATCTATTTTAAATTGATCAGCGAATCGTATGATTTTTATATTAATAGCATTGCATTGCAGGATTTGTTTATACACATGCACCATTATTAATTGTAATAAGTGGCAGCAGCGTGTTTCTTGAACGCAACCTTTTTCCAAAGTGGATAGATAAAAAAAAAGGACAAATTTCACGTGATGCTTTAGCTACAAATTTTGGTTCAGAATCTAAAACTTGGCACAAGAAGGCATTTTCAATGCACCAGGAAATTAAAATTAATGTATAGAAGAAGGGAAGTTGGAGTTTGGTTTCGAATTAATAAAAGATAGCAAAGAAACGGTAGCGTTGTTGTCATTATATGCAGCATCGGAAAACAGAAACAGATGAAAAAAATTTTTGAGAGAAATTTGAATGGTATCGAATATTATTATTAAAATTATGGTTATCAAAATTGTTAATCTAGTCATGACCGTCAACTGTGAATTATTTTGATGAAAAGTAAAAGAATCAAAAGAATTTGTAAAAAAATTTATTTTTATCTCGTAACATGTGATTTAGGCATGCCAAGTAAAATTACGCACAATGGTCTCGCTTCATTCATTTATTATTCACTTGACATTTTTGTCATTTACAATGGTTACATTATTGAAACATGATTTTTTCTCCTTAAAAATTAATTTTTTGAAGCCATCTATTAACAACTATTTTCAAAAATGAATAGCTTTACGTCACTCTGGGACTTTTTAGAATATTAATTGAGCGTTAATGCAATGCTATGTATATAAAAAAAGTTTGTATAATGTTATCTAAATAAAAAAGAAAAGGTCAATTGTTTTAAAAATATCCATTAATGATGATGATAGTATCCAATTCTAATAATCAACAGTCATACTATCACCACCATCATTGTTGTCTTCTTCATTTTCATTGTTATAAATATTATTGTCATCATTATCAACATCAAATTGTTCTATTTCACCATCACCTTTTACATTTCATTATCACGAATGTTCTTGTTAACTCTAATTTCATAATCATCAACTCCAATATATTCTTCACCATCATCTAATCTTTCATTACGAATTTTTTCAATTTGATCATTTATTACACCCTCGCCATCATATTCATCATCTTCTTCAAAAATTAGTCCATCTTCGTCCACTTCATAGTCTTCAACAACAACATCATCATTCTTATCAAGCAAATCACATGGTGACTCTAAATCAGGCTCTAGTTTTTTTGCTATTGATTCAAATCTTACATCACAAGAATCACCATTATTGAAATCAGGCATACTATATTTATTCCTCATATAGCTGGATTCTTGATAGTCATGTTTATGCTCATTATCATTATCGTGATCATAATAAAATAATTGCTAATATTTTTCTCTTTTTTTAATGAATTATTACTAGCTGATATTGAATTTTGAATATCTGAAAAATTATAAAGATCAAGAAGATCCTTGACACATCCTAGCATCAAACACAAAGTGATGTAATTTGAAATCATAGTTAAAGATATATTATTATTAAATACTGGCTGTGGCTTCATGATTTCGATGAGACAGTAATCACCAAACTGACCCTTCAGTAAAATCATTAACATTCTCATCATATCCATTACTATAATCATTAAATTCTATGCCTGGAGCTTTAGCAGAAATCAATAAGGCAACACTTGCTATGATTGTTGGACTATATAAAAAAGAGATAACAGTGCTTTATAACTGAAAATTCGAGAAAAAATAAATTAATCCAATAAATGCTTGTCCAATCATTCAATTAACTCACATTTCATTTATTATTGACCATCCTTCTTCTGCCAATTTTCTTATATATCATGTCTATAACCTAAAATTATTATTTTCATTTTCATTTTCTTTATCTTCTTCATATCCATCGACTACCTTTCATATTAATATACCTTATATAAACATGATAAAGATGTTCAATTGAATAATCATAGCATAATGATTGGTTCCAATATTTTTATTATTGATCTCCAAAATTCGTATTCCTAAAACATTTCAATAAATAAATAGATTATATGGATAATCCAACATATATCATATAAATATAATAATAATAGTAACCAAATTACCACTTTCTCTAATCTGTTAGGTCTCCATAGTAAACCCTTGCACATGATATTGTGACATCAAGCATTTTCTGATCGATTCTTCTGCTTTACATGCCAAAAATATGCCTTTAGATTGTATAAATAAATGCATACAAGTGTAATATATAAATGTATATTATGTAGAGTTCCACCTTGCTATCTAAACTGTTTAACATGTAGAATTGCTGAAAATAGGTTGTAGCCATAGATACAGTGATTTGAGGATTAAATCAAAATAAGATCTTTTATTTAAAATGATTGAATGCAGTAGAAATAGCTTCAGATGGTAACGAACTTGAATAATGAATTGCGTTGTTTTCACTTTTGTACATGTTCTTTTTCATAAGTAAATCCATCTTTTCTAGAGGGTGACTTTTTCAACATAGTCAGTCTTGTTAAATTTCCAAATCATTTTAAATGTAGCTTCCATTTCAAGTTCCTTGTGACACATGAACAGGAAAACCACACCTACCTCAGTCAGCCGACCAGCTCTTTATTTTGATTGGGTATAGAGGTGACTATCTTATACTAAAAAGGGTAGGTAGGCTTTTGCTCGTCGAAAATTTTCTAAAAAAGTAGGTGTGGTAAAAATTATTGAATGTGACCATCAACAACACTATGATTTGAAAGAGGATGTTTTTATATAATTCGAAGGAAAAAATGTCATCAGTTACATTGTAATTCATATTATTAGAATTAAATCAAATAGCATATACAGATAACTCGATAAGTTGGTCATGAATGGCTGGGAATGATGGACCAACTTGTTGAGAGAACCGACTTGTCAAGAACACGTGACTCTAGATTAGTTGTTCATGATTTTGTATACGTAAATGTGATTTTTAAAACTATTTATTTAGATTGATCTTTTATATAGGTTGTTCGGAAGATTATGAAATCAACCTTTTTATACATACAAAATATAATAAAAACATAAATGCATTAGTCATGATACAAAAAGAAATGATTGTTTCTTTTCTAAATTATCAAATGAAATAATAAGTAATGCAATTAATGATGGATGTAATAAAATACAAATGTATTGTTCATCAAAAAAAGAAACGTTTTTCTGAGATAATAAATGATAAAATCAATAATATAATTAAAAAAAAGAAACATTTTCTGAGATAATAATAATAATGATACAATCAATGATGTAACTAACAAGATAATAAATGATATAACTGACTAAATAATAAAATGTTAATTTAATTGTTCATAATAGATAAATTTTTTACGTAAAATATGATTTAGGATTAGAAGCACATGTACAAATGAATTGGTATTTAAAGCAGCCCAGGATTTGAAGATGAATCAAATTGCAAATGCCATTAAAAAAGAATATGTTTTAAAAAAATTGGCTTCAAAAATTTTTTGGGAAAGACAATTCCAGTTAAAAGAATTAGAAGGCAATAAACTGGATCTTTGTATTAAAACACAATTGATGGTTTTTAAATCAAATGAGGGGGATGAAACAGAAAGAGATACTCTGTATATAGGAAACCTCTTAATTACTGCCAGAACTCTGCTGAACCTCTAATAAACAATTAGTGTATAACAATATTTTGTATTCAAAAAAATTTATTATAATTTGAAGTACCTTTTGCTGGAAAACTTTCTATATAAAGTAATTAAATTATAACTAATGAAAAGAAAATATAATATTAATTTAAAGTTGAAAAACTTCTAATTCATCAAATTTACTACCATTTACTATAGTGATGCTTCTATAAGTACATGGGCTACTACCAATATCACCACCTACATTAAAATAAACATCACCATAACCAAACCAAGGTAAACAAGAAGAATTACACCAAAATGCATACTCATAATTATTATTGATAACGTAACTAAATTTTGCAGTGTTAATATTATTTCTATTACTTATATTAAATATAAAACTTTCAGTTGTATATTTATATGTACTTCCATTCCAATCAAGTGGATTATAGCCACCAACTATTTGATTTGAATTTTGTATTTTGCCAACTACAAGAGTTTTGT